ATCATAACTGTCATAACTGTATCACTATCTTTATTTTCATGCAAGCTTTCAAGAAGGTACCAGAGTTACATGATCATTTTATGACTTTCACTTTCTTTTGCCTAATAGATTATTAATTGCCAAGTTATATTGAAATCAGACCAAAACTGTAGGAGGAGGAGGGTTTTGAAAGTATTTCACAGAAATTTCTATTTTAGTACCCATGGCAACACTGTTCAAATCAAAAACGGATACACAGAATTATGTATCTTAAGTAATGTTTACTTGTGTGTCAAATTATATTGAAATCAGACTAAAACTGTAAGAGGGGTAGCATTTCGAAAAAAAAAAATTGTTTACAAACGGACAGACAGACAGATGGACGGACAACGGAACCTTACTATTGCATAAGCTATTCTGGTCTCTGTCCAGTAGAGCTAAAAACGGGAACTTTTAAAATATCTAATAAACGAGTTGATCAAAATGTTTCCTCTTTTCACATTGTTGGGAAATGATACTTTCGCCCGCTTTCACTAAAAGTGGGGGATATTGGTTTTGGTTTTTCTGTCCGTCCGTCCGTCAGTCTGTATTTTTCATTTTGCAATTAAGTTTTATATCACAACTCCCTATGAGCTAAAGAAGACCCCTATTGATTTTGAGGTCAAAAGGTCAAAGTCGAGATCATAAATTCATACATTCTCTCTATGTGTACACTTTCGTTTTCGCGCGATATCTCGAAAAGGCTTTGAGCTTTTGCAATGAAATTTTATACCACAACTCCTTATGGCCTAAAGAAAACCCCTTTTGAGGTCTGAAGTTCAAAGGCCAAGGTCATAAAATTATATATTCTGTCTTTGTGTAACCCTTTCACTTCCGGGCGATATCTCAAGAAGCTTTTGAACTTTTGCAATGAAACTTTATACCACAACTCCCCAAGGCCCCACCCGCCCCTATCGTAGGGTCCCGCCCCGTTTTTTTTTTAATTTTGGTCTCGTTTTCTCTCTCTTTCTCCTTTAATCAAAAATCAATTGGAAATTTGTTGGCATCGATCACGGTCAAAGTTTTATAGTTACTCCCCGTTTGTATTAAAAATGGCATGACACTATTTCTAGTAAAGGAGAATGTGGAGAGTTATTACATAAATACAGATTTTCGACAGACTTTACATGGTAAATCAATTAGAACTGTTTAGTAAAGGCTAAATTAGAAATGTATTGTGTAAAAGTTTGCCAATATCGAACGTGTCAAGAACGACTCCAGGCAATGGGCCAGACATAAAAAAGAAGACCTTGACACTGTCAGAATGGATTAAATGTATCAGATGTATGTTAAAATCTTTCATTTAGCGATTGAGGGGCAATATGAAAACCATCTATCCTTCTGTGTTCAGTAATTCAGAAGTGAAAAAAGAATTAGATAGATTACATGATCAGTATCTACTTGTCCCAGCTGACAAAGCATGTAACAACATTGTCTTTGTCTGTAAGGCTCATTATTTTAATTGTATTTTAGAGGAACTTGTATTTAATTCTACAAGTTATAATCCATTTATATCCTAAGCTCACTTTCTAAGGAGGAAATTCTTCAAAATCATATGCCAGTTTTGAATATTTTTAATATTCTCAACAACCAAAATGAATTTGCATTACCGTATCTATTCCGAAACTTCATAAGTCCAGGCGTTTTGACATCATTGACAGCTGCTTTTTCAATAAAAATGAAACTCGTATATTTACTTACCTTGTCATTGGTCATTTACAAAATTATTTTGTTAAAAACATTCTGATTGTACACACAAGTACTCTGAAGTGGATATTAAAAAGATGCTTCAGTTTCTGATTGACATTATCTTTGTGGTATTTGGAGACCAGGTCTTCCAACAATCTGTTGGAATTCCCATGGTTACCAATTGCGCCTTGTTATTAGCTGACTAATTTTTGTATTTATATGGAGCACAATTTATTCAAAAACTTATACAGTAGAAAAAAAACTTGCTGTGGCCTTCAACTCGACATTTAGATATATCGACTACATATTATTAATTGACAATAGTTATTTCCCTTCATATGTCGACACGATGTATCCCAGTGAGCTTGAAATAAAAGATACCACCGAGTCTGATGCATCTGTACCATATTTGGATATGCTAGAAAAAGATGTTAAAGGTAATCTAACAACAAAGTTTTATGTAAAACGTGACGACTTTAACTTTTCAATCGTTAACCTCTCTTACTTATGCAGCAATATACCCTTATCACCTGCATATGGGGTTTTTATCTCTCAATTGATTCGATACGCAAGAGCATACTCTACGTATGAACAATTTCTAAATCGAGGTAGATTACTGAAAAGTTGATGAAACAAGAATATCAACAGTATCGTTTAAAGTCGTCATTTCGCAACTTCTATGGTCGATACAATGACCTTGTCAGCAAGTTCAACCTATCATTTAGTCAAATGCTGAGTGACGTTTTTCATGCTAGTTGATAGACCATTATTTACACACTGAATTGTCGACGGATTTTTCCGTTATTTCCCAATCATGACAAGGAGCACAGAGCGGGTGTGACCGTTCTGCATGGGATGTTCACTCCTCCATGGCGCCTGATCCCACCTCTGATGCACAAAATATTTGGACCCCCATTCAATTTCATATTTATTCATCGTTATTTAGATGTTTATAGTAGTAGAAAATAAAAAAATAAAATCCGCCCACCCGCCCCAATTTTTAACAAAATTAGGACAAAAATCTAACTTTAAAGTTATGTGGCCTTAAGGCTAAAAGCTGAAAGGTCAAGGCTGACTTTTTTTCTTTCTCCATCTGCAATTTTTTTTTCCATTTCTTCCTCCCTTTTACTTTTTCCTTAAGCGGGGAACACAAATTCTCTGAAATAGCTTGGTTTTTTAAAAATAGTTTTGTAATGTCATATGCATGTAAAAACAGCCTTTAAGGTGTTTAAAATCAGTAATTTTTGTTTACTTTGAAAAATAGTATTACAAGCGCTGTTTTCTTTATTAAAAGGCTTTTCGGAAATATAATTTGATAACATTTACAGCTATGAAAATTCTATGATCTGGAGTATTAATGTGTAAAAAAAAAATCATTAATTTGACATCATAAATGTCAAAACTAAGACGTTATATACACAAACGCTTTTCGTTAAAAAAAATTACGACGTTGGGTGATAATGCGGCGCATCAGATTTTTATGTTATACAGTGTTAAGCCGGGTAACCACTCTTGTCCTTAGGAAAAAAAGAGATGGAAACGATTGTACGACACAAAAAGATGTCTCGGACACTGGTGTTTACCTGGAAAAGAGGTTTGGGGATGACTGGACTGATTATCCAATGGAAGAGGCGTTTGGTAGACCAACAAAAATGACGCCAAACTGAAAAGTCATGAGCTGGACGTCATACATGGAATTCGCCGTTTAACTACGCAAGCAGTTAGTTTTATGAATTGGTTGGAAAATTGTCTATTAAAAATTATTCTTCAATCTTTTGATAATTCTTGTATGTGTGAGATTGATAACTAGGCAACTAACAGAGATTCAAATGCCGTTTTGATGTTATGCTGCAAACGAAATTTTAAAGAAGAACAACTCTTGAACAAAGTCACAAAAGCCACGAGCTTTGTTTTGATGATGATATGTAAGATTCGTTTAACTAAGATTAAAATGTTATTTATAGAGAAATTTTAGTAAAATTTCTATGTAGTATTAAACATTAAATAATGAATATGGTGCATGCTAATTTTTAACGTTATATTAATGAAACAAAAAATATTGAAAACATTCGCGTTTTTCTACCTTCGTTTATACTGACTATTATTCACATAAAACAGATGCTTCTTCTTCCTAATGTGGTGTTCTATCTTAGTTTCAACATTCATAATATTTCTTTCACAGTAATTTGTTTATATATATATATATATATATAAGTCATAAAAGTTTTATGCAAATTCTAAACAGGAAGGAAATCTACAAATTTAAAAACTGGTTAAAAGGATATTATTATAATATCTTTTTCTGGGCTAATTTAAGCAACAAATGTAATTAACCAAAGAAGAAAATGACAACATTTACGTAAATGCTGTACTTTGAGAGATCAGTCGAATATTTCTAACTAGAAAGGGAGCAAATCATTTGGATTTTTATACTATTATTTTGAGAGCTAAAATGTCTTGCTTCAAATCTAAATGACTTTCCCTTCACTTTCACGACAATTTGCTTAATTGTATCCATATGCCAACCCGGATGAGCTCAGGATACAGTGATCTTAAGGACAGACGATACGTTCCTCAACAATATATAATTTTTTTCCAAGATTTTGTCATTGAAGTACTGCTACTTTAACATGTTTACTCACAAAAAATTGAGGTACCTTACCAGGCATTTGTGCAAGATACCAGAGGATGATGTCTCTTAAATTATCCTTTTGAAAATAACTTAATTTGCCAATATTAAAGTTTTTAGTATGTTGATTTTTTAAAGACAATTAGAAAACAGTTTAGAAAACACAAGGTAATTATAATTTTGAATATTTTTCATATTTTATGATGATATACAAAACAGATATTTGAGGAACGTATCGTCTGACCTTAAACAACAAACAGACAACATGTCACGATACCTTGGAGTATATTTGCTTAAGAAATAAAATGCTTCATTGTTCTCTGAATGAAATATGGAGATAACGAACAGTATTCAAGCTCAAAGTCCATTTAAACAATACTAATCAGGAGCAGAGCAAACACGGACCTCCAAAAACACAATGTTAACTGCAAAGGTCAGCAGCAAGGTGGGATCAGGTGACATGAATATAAATAATGATCGTACAGGAGTACATGAGAGATGGAACGCTAGTACAAAGTATCTTATTTAACATTGTTTAAAGGCCAACTTTTTATCTTAAGTGAATGTAAAACTAAATATTACATTGATAATAAGGTTTTCTAGCCTCCCCTATCATTTTGGGGAAAAATTGCCAGTAAGCGCATACTTAATAAAAACGCTTACATCAAAAGCACACTATTTATTCTTCAAAAAATGAAAATTTAAAATAACATTCCAGTAATATCTTCGAAGAAAACAGAGAAATTTCAAAAATTGAGGTAGAGCTAAAGTTTTTTATGTTTTCTGTCTAAGGTTGGTAGTTTCTGCATTCTGGAACCCTGGATGGATGGTCACAATTCTGGATGGCTTTATTGAAGACCGTGCCAGGGGGACATTGCTCGTGATATTCAAGATTTGGCCCACACTGATAAAACATACCACAGTCTGCAGGGTCTCTGTGTATACCATATCCATGCGTACTGCAGAAGGTGCCAGCTACAAAACAATTCTACACTAGAAGTTCAGTTATAAATCTGAATTCTGAGTTAGAATCAAAGGGTAAGCAAGATTTTCAATCTCGAAACACCTACTTTTAAACTGCTTAATACTGTACGTAATTTTTTTGAAAATGAATTTTATCTTTTGAAAAGAAATGAATGCTTACATTACTTTATGCTTGGATGTTAAGGTAGAATAAAATTTTCAATCTCGAAACACCTACTTTTAAACCGCTTAATACTGTACGTATTTTTTTTGAAAATGAATTTTATCTTTTGAAAAGAAATGAATGCTTACATTACTTTGTGCTTGGATGTTAAGGTAGAATAAAATTTTCAATCTCGAAACACCTACTTTTAAACCACTTAATACTGTGCGTATTTTTTTTTGAAAATGAATTTTATCTTTTGAAAAGAAATGAATGCTTACATTACTTTATGCTTGGATGTTAAGGTAGAATAAAATTTTCAATCTCGAAACACCTACTTTTAAACCGCTTAATACTGTACGTATTTTTTTTGAAAATGAATTTTATCTTTTGAAAAGAAATGAATGCTTACATTACTTTGTGCTTGGATGTTAAGGTAGAATAAAATTTTCAATCTCGAAACACCTACTTTTAAACCACTTAATACTGTGCGTATTTTTTTTTGAAAATGAATTTTATCTTTTGAAAAGAAATGAATGCTTACATTACTTTATGCTTGGATGTTAAGGTAGAATAAAATTTAGAGTGAGAACTGAAACAGGTAGTATTCGCACATTGTATTTTAAATAAATTTAACGTAGAATAATTAAATCCATTTAGTTTTGCTCCAGTGATATCCCTTGCAATCAATGTTTCACTTGATAAGTTATTTCTTACACTAAAACCATGGACAGTTGAGACAGGATTTGTCTCTTCCAGATATAGAATAATAAGACTTTTTAATCAGTCAGTCTTCGGATTTCTTTACATTACCCTTATGCTATATGGTTTTATTGCTTCAACGGCAGAAAAGGTGAAAAATTCTTTTGAAAAATTTGGAGGGCGGGGGTTAATTTGACTGAAAAATTGAAATCATAAACAAATTCTATAATTCTTTAGAATCTGGAAATAAATGTGATTCTGAGAAATTATGCTAGGAAATATTTTAAGGATTAATCAGTCTTTGGCAATTTAGTATATACACTATTCATGTACATGTATATAGCTTAAAATACCCATTGACGAACATAATTTTATATATCACCTATCCTTAAACAAGAGGCCCATGGGCCACATCGCTCACCTGAGCACACTGGCTAGGAAAAAAAGCAAAAATCAGTTCAGTATTGAAAAGTTAACGGGGGAGAGAGAGGGGGGGGGGATGGGGGATTTTAAACTACCAATGCTTTCATATCAATATAACAAATAACTTTGCTGTTCTTGAGCAGAAGATTTTTTCCCATATATTCATTTGTAAAAATTTGATCCCCCATTGTGGCCCCACCCTACCCCCGGGGGTGCTCATTTGAACAATCATTTGAACGATGCTTCCATATCAATTTGACTAATCATGGCTTTTCTGTTCTTGAGAGAAAGATTTTTTCCTATATATTCCTCTGTAAACTTTGATCACCCATTGTGGCCCCACCCTACCTCCAGGGGTCATGATTTGAACAAACTTGAATCTACACTACCTGAGGATGCTTCCATATAAATATGATCAATCATGTCTTTGCTTATCTTGAGAAGAAGATTTTTAAAGTTTTTTTCTATATACTCTTACGAAAAACTTTGACCCCCCCATTGTGGCCCCACCCTACCCCCAGGGGTCATGATTTGAACAAACTTGAATCTACACTACCTGAGGATGCTTTCATATAAATATGACCAATCACGGCTTTGCTGTTCTTAAGAAGAAGATTTTTAAAGATATTTTCCTATATATTTCTATGTAAAACTTTGATCCCCCATTGTGGCCTCACCCTACCCCCGGGGGTCATGATTTGAACAAACTTGAATCTACACTACCTGAGGATGCTTCCATATAAATATGATCAATCATGGCTTTGCTGTTCTTAAGAAGAAGATTTTTAAAGATATTTTCCTATATATTTCTATGTAAAACTTTGATCCCCCATTGTGGCCCCACCCTACCCCCGTGGGTCATGATTTGAACAAACTTGAATCTACACTACCTAAGGATGCTTCCATATAAATATGACCAATCATGGCTTTGCTGTTCTTAAGAAGAAGATTTTTAAAGATATTTTCCTATATATTTCTATGTAAAACTTTGATCCCCCATTGTGGCCTCACCCTACCCCCGGGGGTCATGATTTGAACAAACTTGAATCTACACTACCTGAGGATGCTTCCATATAAATATGACCAATCATGGCTTTGCTGTTCTTAAGAAGAAGATTTTTAAAGATATTTTCCTATATATTTCTATGTAAAACTTTGATCCCCCATTGTGGCCCCACCCTACCCCCGGGGGTCATGAATTGAACAAACTTGAATCTACACTACCTGAGGATGTTTCCACATAAGTTTCATTTTTCCTGGCCCAGTGGTTCTTGAGAAGAAGATTTTTAAATGATGTCATTATTTTTTCACTAATTCCTAATTATCTCCCCTTGAAAGAGGGCGTGGCCCTTCATTTGGACAAATTTGAATTCCCTTCACCCAAGGATACTTTGTGGCAAGTTTGGTTGAATTTGGCCCAGTGGATCTTGAGAAGAAGATGAAAATGTGAAAAGTTTACAACAACAACAACGACAACGACAACAACGACGACAGACAACGGACAAATTTTGATCAGAAAAGCTCACTTGAGCCTTTGGCTCAGGTGAGCTAAAAAACTATAATTATTCTTCCACTTCACTTTACCTTGAGACGAAAGTCTCGTGAAAATGAATCAATAAAAAAGTCGTACCTTGGTTCGGATAAAACGCAGGTACGTGGTTATGAGGATCCTTAGTTGTGCCCTTAGTCACGTGTTGAGTACTTTGTGTCGTGCTAGATGATGGAGGTGGAGCCATAGTGGTAGTGGTGGTCACGTGTTGTGTACTTTGTGTCGTGCTGGATGATGGAGGTGGAGCCATAGTGGTAGTGGTGGTCACGTGTTGTGTACTTTGTGTCGTGCTGGATGATGGAGGTGGAGCCATAGTGGTAGTGGTGGTCACGTGTTGTGTACTTTGTGTCGTGCTGGATGATGGAGGTGGAGTCATAGTGGTAGTCGTGGTCACGTGTTGTGTACTTTGTGTCGTACTGGTAGTGGAAGATGGAGCCATTGTCACCTGTTTTGTACTTTGTGTATTGCTGGACGAAGGTGACGGTGCAACAGTTGTAGTCGTGGTAACATGTTGAGAACTTGGTGGTGTTTTGGTAGAGGGCGATGGGGCCTTCATTGTGGTCTTAGTCATGTGTTGAGTACCTTGCGGTATGCTGGTAGAAGGAGATGGAGCCTTAGTTGTAGTTGTGGTCATGTGTTGTGTACTTTGTGCCGTGCTGGAAGAGGGAGATGGGGTTTTCAAGATGGTTTTGGTCACTTGCTGCTGACCTTTGCAGTTAACATTGCTTGGCAAATCACAAAATTTGGTAACGTCATTGAACAAAAGACCGGATGCACAAGACACTTCTAAACTCTGGGAACCGGCACAGATGAAGTAATTTGAACAAGAATTTGGATCAGCATAGAATCCAGTTACTTTTCCGGTACAGTCAAAACGATTAGTCAAACCAATGTGATGGGTGGTTTTGATTGGTCCTGTATTGGAGTTAGGTGTGGTTTTCTGGCTGGTCGGCAGGGTAGTTTGTACTGACTGGGTTTTCATGGTACTTGATGCAGTTGAAGGTTGCATTGTTGAAGTAGCAGTTGTTTTGGCATCAGTTACTCTTTAAATTAGAGAAATACTGTTCATACACTCAGAGATTAAAAAAAAAACATACGATGATGGAGAAAAGATTCTATTTCTCGTTCAATTTCCTTCACCCCATCTTTGCCAACCAAGTGTTTTTGATTCGCTACACTCCTCGTAAACTCTGTTTGTAGAGAGTGTGGCGGGTCAGAATCACTTGTCTAGCGAAGATTCCTTCACCTGAAAAATTAAAGTGTAATGTCTCTCTGATAAGTGATAACTTTCGAAAGAAATTATTCCAGTGAATTGTCTTACCACAGTTTACTAATTATGACCATTATGTAGTCAATTCAATCAAATTTGAACTATGTTACACATATTGAATTTGTTACAAATATTGATCTCTATTTTCTATTGCCAATATTTTTATTAGTTTACCTAAAACGTTTATACTCAGCTCGTTTAAACTGTTAAAATTGAGATATTTCTATCTCTTAACATATATAAGTAAGCAACACTTCGTACTTCGAACTATTTTCCATTTGAATCTAATGCTATTATTGTTGATAAAAATCAATGTTTGGAATTTTAAAAAAATGGTGAAATTTAGAGCAGAGGGATATTTCACCTTAAATAAAGTTGAATAGTCCTGATGGAATTTATGCTCCTGTGGGGTGACTCAAAAAATACATCCTTTACATAAACTTTTAAAAATGACTCTGCTATCATTAAAAACTATGTATAAAATTAATTTCTGTGGCCTTAATCTTATCTAAATGTTAACACCTCTGATCATGAGCAACCGTTGTGTATGCACATATATATCCTTCCACTACCCTAGCACTGAAATTGAACGATTTTTGGCCTTATGAACATTTGACTTCTGAGCCATATTTAATTGATATTACCCAATCAACTATGGCTAAGAATCATGCCAGAACTCTTGGCTACAGGCAAGCATTATGTCAAGTGTGACTCCTGATGCTCCTCACATACAATGTTTAGTCTCTTCGAATTTTACATTTTCGAGACCTTTAGAAGGGAACACATGCATACCCTGTGACCTTGGCCTTATCTAAATGACTTTTAATCAGATTCATAGTTATAATCAACCCTCAGAGTATGGTTTTGTTAAGTTATTCAATATTAAGAAATTATGATATTGATAAAAAGTTTACACTAAAACTCGGTGGCTTTGCCCTTGTCCAATTAACTACAACGCAGTGTTGTTCAAAATTCTCTACCCTCAAACAACCCATATACCTACTAAAATCTAATTTTTCTTCCTATCAGAGTTAAGACCAAGTCAAAGATTGAACACTTTTAAACCCTGTGATCTTGAGCTTGTCCAAATTACCCTGGCTTTTGGTCAGTGCACACCTAGAGTAACAAGGCACCTTTATTTCAAGTAAGTTTCTGATGTTTCTCCTATCTCTTTCAAAGCTTTGGCCACAGCAAAAATATTTTTGAACGATCTTGACCTTGTCCAAATGACCTTGGTACAGGATCAAGACCTTACCCTTCTCATTCCTGACACAGAAATTAAGTACAATCAAAAATATTCTACTATAAATTATAATATTTTAATGTCGGTAAATTGTAGAACACTGTCTGTTGATTTGAATATTTCTAAAAATTATATCTAACTGAAATTTTCAAATCGGAACTTTTTTCTCTCTATTAGAGCTGAATAATTATCGACGAAAATGACTTTTAAAAAATCCGGAATTTGAACTGGGATGAATTAAATTTTGTAATCTTGTCGCTGTAGTCAGACTAAGTCGGATTGCTAGTGGAAATGTCCGTGTTTGCAAAAAATAATTCAGTTTGATAGAATAAGTAAATTGAATAAGTTTATTTTGATTAACTAGAATTGACTGAATGTAATATATAATGCTTTTTGGAACTCAAAAATATCTGCCTGGTAAAAAAAAACAATATAATACACGCATAAATCAATTAACATTGTTTTTAGTACATTTTGATCTAATATTTCATGTTTCTTATGAAGTAAGTATACAACTTCCTCCTTCAAATTAAAAAAAAACCACAATAATGTCCCCTCCTAATACGTTGATAACTGTTTTTAAATGCTTTAAAAGTTCAACTCGTTTGTCGATACCTGTTAACTTTGTAAAAGTTTAACAAACTAATTTCAAAATATACGGTGCACATGTTTGTAAAAGTTAAAAACAATAAGTCTGACTGTTAACTATATACTCGTATATGTATTAGTGACGTAAGTTTGATTTATCACCCTTGATTAAATGTATACTACGTGCAACTGATGATAATGGTCGTTTGTACGAGATCCAGTTATATCTAATTCAAGTAAACAATTACATATTTTAATGGCGAGGATTACAGCAGACTCCATAGGACATAATGGCTCAATTAGTCTATTAGTTCATAACTAGTTCCAGGCGCGTAGCTGCCTATACGCATGTACACAAATGCGTACACATCATTTTTCCAAAAAAAAAAAGGAATTTGAGAGATGGTTTTGCAGAGAAAGAAATGAACCATCCAGTGCATATTTGTGTTTAGAATTTTTAAAAGTCATAATATTCCGATTCGATTTTATACAATAATTAAAATTGAAATCTTTTTTATAATCATTGTCAAATCCAAATAAAATTATTAGTGAATTTGTTCTGTAACACATGGATAATTTTTAAAAGATCTTTGAGAAATGAAATTTCGATCACATCGTAGAATGGTTGGATATTCTACTGTATGATTTAAATTATAGTTTTTTGTTTTGCTTATAACTAGGGATGGCAACGAATATTCGAACATTCGAATATTCATTCGATGAGTTGATATTCGAATATGAATTTAAGATTCGAATATTCGGTGTTTTTCAGATTTCATAAAAAGAAGTACTGTGATTAATGAATTTTGATTAGAACAGTGCTCGGATTATCCCTGTTTAATTTACTAGCGATCAATTTCGATCGACTGATTTCTTTCACTACTTTCTTATCTTATAAATTTTCTAAATTACATGTATTTGGTTTTGAGTAAGGTGTTGTAAAGAATTGTACAATAATGCTTTATGTATAATACAAAACATACTTTCATAGCTTTTATTAGTTATAGATACGATTGGATCTAGAATCGAGGGCAACAAATGAAATCTAAGAATATCTAAAAGGCGTGAATAGCATACTTATCAAAATAAAATTAATTGATCATTGAATGAATGTCCGATAGAATTAAACTGTAATTAATATTGTAAAGGGCTTAATTTCAGAATAAATGTGTAAATTATCTCGGGTTGTACATAATTTGTATTCATTATCGAGAAAACAGTTTTAAAATTACCTAGGAAAATTGTCTATGGAAATATTTGTTTACATTGTATCAAAGATTATAATCATATCTCTTATCAGGCAGATAATTGTAATTTATTACACGTATTGAAATCTGAACAGTATACCGTTACGACTATCTTGCCTTTTGTAAGACGACTGGTTCCTCAGTTGGAGCTACTATAAATACACGTTTCATTTGTTAAAATTATACTTTTCTACATTTAAATCAATTATTTATTTCAAACATTGACAAATATCAAATGTAATTTCTTATTGTACACCTACAAAAGTCTTCATACAATTTTACTTCCTATATAAGTATACCTACGAGAGTAGGATGATGCATATTTAAAATAAAACAGATTTTATTTATTTTATCGAATATTCGAATATATTCGAATACTTTCATTGAACATTCGAATATGAATTATTGACAAAATTGACATCCCTACTTATAACATTTATTATACTTATAAATGAGTGTTGAAGAGTAGACGTACCAACATATATACATGTATAGGTATAATATTCAGTCTCGATTACATGTACAATATGTCACCAATTAACTATTATCTTATTAAAAACGGTATAACCAAGTCATTTCATTGTAAAGAAAAGCGAAATAGCATGATTTTTTTTTCAAGAAAAATGATTAAAATACTTTGTTAAAGGAAGGAACTTCTGGGGGCTTCGCCCCCCTTGGCCCCAACCAGGCTTCTCCCTGGATCTACTGGGGCCTCACGGCGGACCCTAGTCCCCGTGCCTCTCTCTGCGTACACTTCTTTTCACGTCTGGCTGTGCGTCTGAGTTCAAACAGATATAGAATTCCTCATTTTGATTGTGATGGGGAACCTATCACAGTGGTGGTGAGATGGCAAATCTGGCGAAGAGCGTTTGAGTTATTTGAGATTGGTAAAGGAATAGAAAACGCTGGATAAAAGAAAGCCCTGTTATTGCATAATGGAGATATGAAAATGCAAAACACTTATTTTACTTTTTCCCGTGGCTCATTAACTTCAAAACGAAGAAACTAAGTACGACGTAGTCATTGAGCAAATTAACAACTACTTCCGCCCAAGAGTAAACTCACCAGTACGGCAGTAGAGAGGTGATGTCACAGGAACCAATCGTGAGAGTTTAGTCATGCAGTTTGCGTCGCGCGATTATAACAGAAAGCAGAACATTGTAATTTTGACAATGCCCATGAACATTATCGAGAAGTATGGCTGCAGATCTGAGATAAACGACCAGAGAGCATTGAAAAACAAGAGGCCCATGGGCCTTGAATCGCTCTTCTGATAAACTGTACAACCTATCACTTCTATTTGAAGCCTCGAAGTATCCTGTATATTTACATGAACCCTTGAAATTCCAATTCACACTCTGAGAACCCAAGATGATTCTAAGCCAATTAGTACCTGAGAGTTGGTCATGGTGACCTACTTATCACTTGTCATTCTCTGAGGACCCATCAACTAAGTTTGATGATTCTAAGCCAATTAATACCTAAAGTATTTTTTAAAATTATAATCATAAAATTTTATAAGTAAGTCAAAGTGACCTACTTTTCAATTGTTTTACTCCAAGGACCCAAGATGCATCAACTGAAAAAGTTTGATGATTCTAAGCCAATTAGTACCTGTAATATTTAATTAAAGCCATAAATTTTCAAAAGTAGGTCACCGTGACCTACTTTTCAGTTGCTGTACTCCGAGGACCAAAGATACATAGACTGACAAAGTTTGATGATTCTAGCCAATAAGTACCCAAAATATTTAATTACAGCCATAAATTTTCAAAAGGAGGTCACAATGACCTACTTTTCAGTCAACCTACTCCGGGAACCAAAGATGCATCAACTGACAAATTTTGACGATTCTAAGCCAAATAATTCCTGAAAATATTAAATACAGCCATAAAACTTCAAAAGTAGGTCACCGTGACCTACTTTTCAGTTGTTGTACTCCGAGGACCCAAGACGCATCAACTGACAAAGTTTAATGATTCTATGCCATTTAGTACCCGAAATATTTGATTAAAGCCATAAATTTTCAAAAGTAGGTCACCGTGACCTACTTTTTAGTCGACCTACTCCAAAGACCCATGACGCATCAACTGACAAAGTTTGATGATTCTAAGCCAATTAGTACCCGAAATATTTAATTAAAGCCATAAATTTTCAAAAGTAGGTCACAGTGACCTACTTTTTAGTCGATCTACTCTGAAGACCCAAGATGCATCAACTGACAAAGTTTGATGATTCTAAGCCAATTAGTACCCGAAATATTAAATTAACGCCATAAATTTTCAAAAGTAGGTCACTGTGACCTACTTTTTAGTCGACCTACTCCGAAGACCCAAGATGCATCAACTGACAAAGTTTGATGATTCTAAGCCAATTAGTACCTGAAATATTTAATTATAGTCATATAAATTGAAAAGTAGGTCACTGTGACCTACTTTTCAGTTGACCTTTTTTGAAGACCCAAGATGCATCAACTTACAAAGTTTTATGATCATAGGACTTAAAATGTCCAAATTATGCCTCTAAAACGCTTTGAAATCGAATGCCTGCAAAGTTCAAAAAGTAGGTCACTGTGACCTACTTTTTAATAAATATGTTTTATGGCCCCAAGATGCATCATCTTACAAGATTTAATGATTCTAAGCCTCCCCGTATTCGAAATAATGACCTTAATTGTTTTAAAAATGATTAGCCATAAAATTCAAAAAGTAGGTCAAGTTGACCTACTTTTTAGTTGACGTACTTTGAGGACCCAAGATGCATCAACTGACAAAGTTTGATGATCATAGGCCTTAAATTGTTCAAAATATACCTCTAAATCATTTTGAAAAAGAATGGCCGCAAAATTTAAAAAGTAGGTCACCGTGACCTACTTTTGAGTCAATATGATATGAGGTCCTTAGATGCACCAAATGACAAGATTTGATGATCCTAGTCCTTATAGTAAGCAAAATATCAACATTTTAATAAAATTTAATTTTTGGTCAACTTTGAAGTGACCTTGAGACCACGCCCTTTGCCCCAGGGTAAATCCCCGTGCTAATTTTAATCTACAACATATCCTCATCCTTTTGTGTAAGTTTGGTGATAATCTGCCCAGTGGTTCTTGAGAAGAAGATTTTTTAGCAACCAGTACTTTTGTTTCTATTTTCCTAATTATCTCCCCTTGTTAAAGGGTCACAACCCCAGTTTTAGTATAAAAGGGAGCCCTTGGGCCAAGGATACCCTGTGACAAATTTGACAATAATTGGACAAGGGGTTCTTGAGTTATGGCCCATATTCTAAAAAGTTTACGCACACCGCACAAATGGCCATAGCATTAGCTCTTTGAGCCTTTGGCTCAGAAGAGCTAAAAAGTGCATATTCAAAACGCACAAAAATGCACTGTTTCTAGATTTATTTTTCCGAGTAATTAAACTGCCGTCTCAAAATATCACCAACGTATATTCCTAACACATTCTTTCACTATTTCCACATCAAAATATTTCCTATAACCGTTTTAATAGCCCTTCTGGGCCTGAAATTGAGAACATCAAAAATTTCACCTGTTTAAACAGCCATTTTGAGTGGCAAGACAATTCCGCCCAACGCACTTCGTACAGATGTCAACTACAAGAGTAGTTGATAGAGATCTAAGGAATTGGAGTTGAGGTAAGAATTTGTTCTTCCTCCCTTTTAAATATAGCGGGGTTCAGTGTATACACGAACTGTACATATATCAATGCTTACTGTTGGGTTTGTCCGGCCATCAACTCGTCCTTGATAGCATGAAGTAAGGGATATTTTCCCTCTCCACAACTACCAGTGAAATCATCTAAATCAATGGACCAAACCATGATTCCTCCGATTCCTTTGCTCTTAATGAAGTCCACCTGCATTTATCAAAGGACAACGATAAGATTTGTTTTGGGTCATATTTCAAGTATGATCTGATCGATAAAAGAAAAAATTTTAAACTCTATGTTATATCCTTTGTTCAAAGATTTTCTTTCTTACCTTATGTTTTAAGCTTTCTGGGTCATCGTATCCAACCCACTGATCTCCTTTAACGACATACGGAATCTCCATTTCATTAACCCAGTGTCGGGTACCTCCATTCTTTAACATGTCGCAGACCTATTATATTAACGTACATTGTATTTTAATTATTTTATTTTTATTAATGCATTGTGTACCTTTTCTTTACTTGAAAAACAGAAAGAAGTATAAAATCTGGGATGTAGTCACCTCATAATACGCCAGGATTCCAGCCTGTTGGGTATACGTTCCAGCCTTTCCACCATTACCTTTGTCGGGAGCGAACATTCCATTATTATTTGCATTGGCAAGTGTGAAAGAAATTCCATATAAAGGCATTCCTACGTTCAATTTTTCAGCAGGTGCCCCTTTCTGCAGCCAGTAATTTACCGCATATTCCTGTAAGTGGATATTACATTAAAAACTCATTTATTTAAAAGATCAATGTAAAAAATATAATAATCTAAAATCAGGATTATGTTGCAGAGTATTTATCTGGGTAAATGTTTCATCATAGCTCTACTGTCTTTCACCATAAAAACAATACTTGTCTAATCTTGTGAAGCCCCTTAGCCTCTTCCATCTTGTAAGTACGTAAAGAGTATTCGATAAACTTACGACATTGAGTTGTTTATCAGTTCCAGTTTCAGATGGGTGGCTTTTCAGTGGAGCAGTGTGTCCTGTTTTGGTCTCAAAGCCTGCTCCATGGAGGTCATAAGCCATTAAATTTATCCCGTCTAAATATCTGTGAAATATATAATTATATATAAAGAAGAGAAAAACAATATATTTCATGCGAGCTGACTGAGATATAGATATTTATATCCATAATACTTCAATAGCAATATCTACGTTTTTGTGGGGCCATGTAAGCTTATATTTTGTATTGATGAAATATGAAGATAACGACCGGTAATCGTACTCAGAAGTCCTTTAAAACAATATAAATTGTGAGCAGTGCAAACAAGGACCTCTAAAACATCAGAGATGGGATCATACTATTATACCTACATACAAAGGGAAGTTGGCGATAGAAAAGTTGAAATCATAACGTTATAACATTATCATAAAGTTAAGTCATGAGTTTGCCATCAATGTCTTTTTCTCAAGTAAAATATCCATATATGAAGCAGTTGTGTCAGACTTTGTGATGTCTTTGATTTCGATTTCAATGGGATATATCGAATCAACGGATGAATGAAAATACTTTTTGTTAATTGATATAACGTCATCAAAATATCTAAATGTCGAACTGAAGGCCGCAGCAAGAGACTTCCTCTTTTCTTGAAGAAGTTATTGAATAAATTCTGCTTTATAAGCATACAAAAACAGGTCTGCTAATTATGGAACACAGTTGGGACCCATGGCAGCTTTAACAGATTGCTGTAAAACCTTGTCAACAAAGACTGATATTATCAATGAGAAACTCTTTCAATATCAATTTCATAGAGTATTTTTGTGTATACTTACTGTGAAATGCCGGGGACGTCATATGCTGTGTCGATCGTACTCTTTCCACAAGACACAGCAGCTGTCAACATGAGACCTTCTGATGCAAAAGTTTCGTGGAGAACCTGTTTTGAAAAGTATAACAAGAGGCCCATGGGCCACATCGCTCACCTGAGTAACTTTGGCCATGCTGTTTATTACCAGACTTCCCCCCTTGTAATACCTATTGTGGCCCCGCCCTACCCCCAGGGGCCATGATTTGAACAATTTAGAATCCACATAAGTTTCAGTTTTTCTGGTCCAGTTGTTCTTGAGAAGATTTTTAAAGATTTTTCCTATATATTTCAATGTAAAACTTGGGATTCCCTATTGTGCCCCCCCCCCATCCCCGGGGTCATGATTTGAACAATTTAGAGTGTACACTACTTGAGGATGTTTCCACGTAAGTTTCAGCTTTTCTGGCTCAGTGGTTCTTGAAAAGAAGATTTTTAAAGATTTTTCCTATATTTTTCAATGTAAAACTTGTATTCCCTATTATGGCCCCGCCCTACCCCCGGGGGTCATGATTTGAAAAAATTAGAATCTACACTACCTCAGGATGCTTCCACATAAGTTTCAGCTTTTCTGGCCCAGTGGTTCTTGAGAAGAAGATTTTTAAAGATTTCTCCTATATATTTCAATGTAAAACTTGGATTCCCTATTGTGGCCCCGCCCTACCCCCGGGGGTCATGATTTTAACAATTTAGAATCTACACTATCCCAGAATGCTTCCACATAAGTTTCAGCTTTTCTGGCCCAGTGGTTCTTGAGAAGAAGATTTTTTTATGACCCCACCCTATTTTTGTCTTTTCTTGATTATCTCCCCTTGTAAGGGGACTTGGCCCTTTATTTTAACAATTTAAACTCCCCTTCCCCCAAGGATACTTTGTACCAAGTTTGGTTAAAATTGGCCCAGTGGTTCTTGAGAAGAAGTTGAAAATGTGAAAAGTTTACGGACAGACGGACAGACGGACGGACGACGGACAATGGGTGATCAGAAAAGCTCACTTGAGCTTTCAGCTCAGGTGAGCTAAAAATAATTATTTAAAATATTCGATGAAACTTTTTGCAGTTTTACGAGTTTGGCGAGTGAGTACATTTTTCCAACACTTGATTTCCGTTTTATGAATTCGATTTCAACGAAGAAAAGACCAACGTCTAAAAGCAAGACTTAAATTTTTTAAAATTTTAAAAATCGATATTACATGTAAGCTTTTACGTATCACAATTAGTATAATTACTATTCCAACCTTTAGAAGTTGTGTGAAGTGGTCCTTATCCTGTGCAGGACTTCCTCTGTGAGCTGGATATTCCCAGTCTATGTCTAGACCGTCAAAACCGTTCTTTTTCAGGAACTGGACTGTTGAGGTGGCAAATTCTCTCCTGCTTGCGTCCGTAGCTACCATACTTGTAAATGGAGCAGATCCCATTTTCCATCCTCCAACGGCTAACAGCGTCTTTAGGGAGGGATTTTGCTGCTTGAGGTCGTTGATACGCTCATACCTTTCATAGGAGGATTTTTCAATCGTAAATTTTCATTTTAAACAATAGTGATAAGAGTAATAGTGCAAGAACTAGAATTGGTTTAAATTAGTTATATATAGCAGAATGTGACTAAACCTTGCTTGAAAGGTTCAGCATATTTGATCTTATTGTATGTAGTAAAATATCAGCAAACTGCTGAAAAGGACCAAACCACAACAAATTCACAAACTCGTGTTTGTGGTGAAGTGTAAATATTTGAAAAGTGTATATAGTTTTAGTATTTTAGATTTTGTGTTTATTTGACAGGTTTAGTATTATCATCTACAAAATAATTGTGACATTATTATTTACAGGAAATTTATTTAATTTCACTTATTTATATTTCAGGAATTTATTATTTATTTAAGGTATATTATACTTTAGAAGATACAATTATTTAGGAATTACTTTAGTATAAATAAATATGTTTCCCTTATAGTATTTATAGTAATAAACTTTGAGAGGTCAGTGACCTATGAAGTGACCCATCAGTGAGATTTCATTGGTCGGGGTTTTTGGAGGGAAATCTCTTTGTGGGCAGTGTATTTTTGGTTAGAACTGGTCATACCAGTCTTTGTGTTCAAACTGAGAGGATGTCTTGATGTTCCTGATTTCATACATTTTTGGGGAGTAGCAGTTTATTTTCTTTGATTGTTTAATTCCAGAATTTCAGGTCTGTTCTTAATATTATTTTCATGTATGATTGTGATTTTGTATGTTTATGTGAAAGTGAGTGAAAAAGGTGTTTGAATGGTGAATGCAAGTTTGAGAGATTGTGTAAATGAGCAGTATAAATATTTTATCAGACATTTCACTCTAATTGAAGAATTAAATTGTATATATGTAGGACTGAGTGAAATGAATAAATAAGTCTAAAGTTGTAAAACTATTTTTTATAATTAACTTGTATAACTGTAATGTGATTAATAGTAAAATTAGGAATTTTATCTTTTGTTTCATATAATTTAAATAATTCTTCAAATTTAAAAGCATAGGTATTTTTCATTAAATAAAGCAGTTATTATTATTAAAGATTTTTAAAGCAGCTAAGGGAGATTACTCATTGTTATGCATTCCTTATAGGACTGTCACAGCTACATGTGTAACAGCTAGTATATAATCCAGACCTTTTGACCATATTAAAGGTAATTTATGTGTTTTATGTTTATGTGTTGTTCCATTATATGTATGTGTTGACAGAACTTATTTTTGAGTATTTGTCATGCATGTCTATATTTTATGTTGAATTAAATTTCATGTGTGTTATGTCCAATGCATGAAATTGTATTTGTGTTAATGTTCAATATGAAATCACATAAGATTATTTGATTTAGAATTATTTAATATCAGATAATGATTTTGATAATTATTATGATTTTTTATTTTAAATGACTAAATTAATAAAGGAAATATTTTTATGATAAATTGATCTGTGATAAAGAAGTGGTAATTATTTTTATATCAATTTAATTTAAAGAGAATATGAATTATAAAGTATGAGATTTATTATAATGATGATATACTATAATGGAGTTAAATGTGTATTTTTAGCTTGTCTAATAATTGTTATTGTTATTACAGGGTCTACTATATTATACTACTCTACTGTTACCATGGTTACTATTATTTAATAAAATACAACAATGAAGCAAGGATCAACTGCGTTTTTAAATTATTCAACGAACCCTATTACAGAACGTTTTCTTACATCCCTTTAGCCGTTGCAGTGCTTTCGTCATTCCACTCAAACGGTGCCAGGTGATTTCCATTCAGTTTGGCAAATGCAAAGATGATATGGGTACAGAGGGTAGGGTCCACATTTGCTGGTACAAATTTGGCTGGCGCATGTCTGTACTGTGCCCAGTTGGTATAATAACATACCCGTCGATATCCGTTATCTAAAATAAGACCAAAAATATTTTGGAACTTATTTTTTGCCAAAAAGTTTCTTGTTTTTGTAATTATATACATGAAACATAATATATTTCAATGCCACAGCAACAACTGAAGGATACTCAACTACACAAACCCCGCGAACAACTTAGCGGTTTTGCAATTCCCTTATAAATTTAAAACTTACCATGAGCTTGAAGATAGAAAACAGACAAATCATACTTGTATACAATCACAAACAATTGGAAAGTCTATATTTCTCTGCATATAGTAAATTCAAAATTTACAATGTACAACATGATTGATGAACTGGTGTAAAAATTTACTACATGCTATACTAGCTACCACAGTGATATTATTGCATATAAATCAGTGAAAGTCCAGTAGATATCTTGCATATGGTGTGTGATTTTAATGATCTATTTGCTGGAAAAGGAGAATATGTTGATGTCAAGCCTTGCTCAGAATTTGTTTGTTTGTTTGCGGTTTTATTATTTATTAATACATTCATTTAAAATTTGCATAAACGGGTCTTTATATGCAACCAATAGTATAAAACCGTTTTATTTTTGTCACAGTTGACTGTAAAGTAATTAAAAAGAAACTACAGAATGTATTGATCAGAAGCTAAGTATGTTTAGATATATGTAAGAAAATTTTGAATCCGAAAAGTTTATTAAAAGAAAAGTTGCACAAAGGAAGGTTATTTGATTAACTTTCAACTACAGATTTCTAAAAAAAAAAAAGTTTTCTTTTTCATATATACTTTTTGATGCATACTTCCACTTCAAACTATTTTTTGTGTGGAAATTGTTCACATGCCAGATAACAATGTTAACGTAATTTTATTTCCTTTTTAATTTCTTGTTCCTCCTCTCCTTCCTAGGCTCGACGAACCCTACATATTTCTAAAAACAATCAGAGACAAACTAATAATTAATAATTTAATTTTGCTTATTCATTGAATCATATCTATTTTGCTTGTTGTCATGTATGCACTCTATAAAAATCAGGGGCGTCGGCAAAGAGGCGGCGGTCGCCGCCCCAATAATTTTGCTAAAAAAAAAAAAATTAAAAAAATAAGAAATTTTTTTTTAATTTTAAATGAGAAATACAGAATAACAAAATTTGTAATTGCGATATCTGTGGTCAATGGAGCGGCAAGAATAACGGCAGTCTGTGGTCAATGGAGCGGCAAAGTGTGAAAGCTATTGTTTGTTTACAAAGACGCAAATTGGGATGTACCTATATACCTGTACCGGCATGTGTACACAATAAGCATGGTATCCATCGCTCCTTGCAAGTTTACTACAAATTCTTTCAGGCCCACAGCTAGCAACGTTTTTGGAAAGTCTATGTTTTGGGGGCGGGGTAGGGGTTCTCTAATTTTTTTTCTTCTCAAATGCTGAAATTTGCACGAGTTCGACCTAACAGCAACAAAAGGTGTGTATGAAAGGGGGGGGGGGGGCAAGCAGCGTCTAAATGAATGAATTTTAATGCAGTAAAAACTTAAGCAAATGGACTATTCTCAGAAAACAAGTGGAGAAAGTGGGGAAAAATTGGAGCTCCCCCCTTTCCGACACCTTCCCTCGCGTATAACAGGTCATTGCCAAACCAATCGGTCGATCAGTGTTAGGAAATCTTTGATGAACCAAAGCCGTTGTAAGCTATTAAATTAAAGCAAAATACTGGGCAAATTTACTATTTAAACAACTTCAGTTGATTTTTTTTTTATAATGTCATATGTATTTCTGCATTTCAAAAATGAAGGGATTATGAAGGATTAATCACCCTATTCGTTTTAAATTTCATAATTTTACATTCTTTCGGCAAATAACAATAAATATTATTCAATAATAGAAATTATAAGTACATGTATTTTAATCTTTACCCCGTCATAAACCGTTCAAAGTTCTTTCTATGCCGATTCGGCATTTTGTAAAAAAGGAGAAAAAATGTTTATTAACATTACTGCATGTGATGCGTCCGATGAAAAATCAATGTCTTTAATAATAAAAAAAAATGTAAAGAAAATGTATTTTTATTTTATCCAAACTGCACATAGAGGCTGTAAAATCAAAAAAAATGTTAAGAGGCATAAATTAAAAATTATTGCAATGAAATATGAAGATAACGAACAGTATTCAATCTCGAAAGTCTAATGAAACGATACAAATTTGGAGCAGAGCAAACACGGACCCTAGTGTTTGTAGAATTCTAGGTTCTACTTTAATCCCAATCAACATTGATGTAACTGCCAATTTCAGAATACATATTGTTTCTAGCAGGGGGGACATGCATCGTAATTTATTAATTGTACGTTGTTATATTTCGATATTTGATTTATAAAAGGATCATACAAAATTTTATTGATTGTGTTTAATTTTCTTTCAGAAAAATATTTCTTAGGTTCCTCCTACGTAATCGACCATTGATAAAATGTTTAGTGTTTCTAGAATATTTTATTTTAACGATATAAAAATCAAGCATGTTACAAGTAGTAAGCTACAGTAAAACACGACAAAAACAATTCTCTGAGAGAAAATCAGAAAAAATAATGTCTCTTCAAGTACAAAAGTCCTTTTCTACAGGTCGCCCTTCTATGGCTGGTAATTTTTGCATTCAGGAACTTTGAATGGGTAGTCACAGGCTATGATGGCTTCGTTGAAGACCGTGCCTGGGGGACAGGGCTCGTGGAATCCTAGATTCATGGCACATTGGTAGAACATACCACAGTCCGATGGATCCCTGTAGTGACCGTCCGCCCGGCTACTACAGAAGGCGTTAGCATCAACACCTAATAAAACATTGAATACATTATGTATTACATCTTATATGTTAATGTTGTAGTTTAATCATTATCATTCGCGTACTATAAATCAGTTTTTCGGGAGTGTCCTTTGAACAAGTAATCAGCATGAATTTTTCTTTTGCTATCCATCCCCTTTTTCATGTATCATGGATAGAAGAAGAAAAACTTTTGCGGTAAATACATGTATTTTATTTCATGAGTAAGCAAAGTTGATTTATGCCTTTCTGCATAAAAAGCATGACTTTCTAGAATCTCATGTTCATGTTGCAAATTCCGCAGTATGTTCTCTTTAATTCATTAAATCAAAATCTCATATGTGCAATTTCTATGTCTTCATTTTAGTACTTTGATAAAGATATTTTTATGCTTTTTAAGAATTTTCAATAAAGATATTTACCAATATTTGGAATATTTTGAGCATGTGTGGTCGGAACCGGTGCCTGGGTGGTTGTTTTTGTCACATGTGCATGCGCATGCGTCGTCTTTGGTGGATTGGTTGGAACAGGAGCTTGAGTTGTTTGGTGTGCTTGCTGCTGGACCTTGCAATTCACATTGTATGACCAATCACAGTATTTGGTGGCTTCATTGAACAAAAGTCCAGAAGCACAGGACACCTCGAAACTTTGGGTACCAGCACAAATGAAGTACTGTGTGCAGGAACTTGGATCGGCATAGAAACCACTAACTCTTCCAGTACAGTCAAAGCGACTAGTCGATCCGATGTGATGAGTAGTTTTGACAGATGAAGTAGTAGCTAAGAAAATATTATTTAAATTTTCTATTTATTGATAGAAAAAGAACGCAGTCTGTCTTCGTAAAAGATTTATTTAAGGTTTTATCAGGAAACTTAATACCGATTAAATATGTAACGATGCATGTCCCACAGCTAAGAACACTACTTTATTCTAATGGTATGCTTCTTTATAGGATTTTTAAAAAATGATTTAAATTCTTTGAATTAGTTTAAAAAGTAGTGGAAAAGCAGAAAAGAAATTTTAAAGGAATGAAAATTCCATCGAATTTACAAAATAAAAATTAATTAAAATTATTTTATCTGAAAGGGAAATAAAAATGAGAAACATCAAACAGATACAGTGCGATTTTTTTTATTTGTTTTGTTTTGTATTGTTTTTTTTTTTTTTTTTTTTTTTTTTTGTTTGTTTTGTTTTGTTTTGTTTCGTTTTTTGTTGTTGTTGTTGTTGTTTTTTTACCTACCAATGACACAGTAAAATTAACAAGAAACTAAAACAAATAATGTTCCACAAAAAGAGGAAACATACTCAGATACCTTGACACCATGAACCTTTAACATTTATTTTCAAAACTTTTCATTACTGGTTAAAATTTCATTAAGTAAAATTATCTAAAATTCGATGTAAGTTTCATTTATGTTTTTCATGGTGTAGAGTTCACAGAACATTAATGGGATGATGGAATGACCTGTTTGTTGGGGAAATTATTTGGGGTTTTGTTTTGCATATTTGTTTTTCTTCACACCACATCGGGGTCGATAAAGCAAAATTAAAGAAAACTGGGCTATAGTGGTTTTCGATGCGTATTCTTAAAATTAAGAATTGCTATCTGTTCAATACTGATAATTTGGTTTTTTAAAAACAGGAATCAAAGAAGAGCCTAACAGCTCTGCCTGTGATTATAAAAATTCTCTTCAAAACGTTGGAAACCTTTCAGCAATCTTTTAGATGCTGTATATCTAAAACAGATATGCTGTAAAAATGTATTTCATCATATTTAGACAACCTTTAATTTTAATGCAAGCGCTTCAAGTTTTGGAAATCGTTATCTAAGAGCATTGATTGAATATAAGGAAGGAGAAGAAAAAGGCCAAAGTACAATTTAAGAGATTAATAGTACCTGTTTTTCTTAAAGTTACTTTTACAAACCACAACATTCATTTATAAATAATGAACACATGCGCCGCACATACTGTAGGGGGATATGAAAGAAAATCCAATTCATTTTGGACAAATGCCAACATAATTCGATGTTAAGCAATTTATTCTTACATCAAGACTTTTACTTTTACTTACTACTGGTGGCTGGGGCCTTGGTAGGATGATTATTGACGTGGGTAGTCTGGTGATGTGGTGGCTGTGTGGTTTTGACGGGTGCCATTGTTGGACCAGCAGTTGTTGGGGCATTAGTCAATCTTAATTGAAAATATATGTTTTACGTGAATATTAATTTTTAAAAAAGCTTACTTAGGTAAATTACTCAATAGAATTTAATGGACCACAACAATCACCAGTCACAGTACCATAGCTAATGCTTCGGTAACGCCTCGTAGAAAAATGCTAACGGACGATCAACGGATGCAACAGAGCACAATATGTTAAGGTCAAGATCTAGTAAATGACTTTAGACTAACTTTTTGGTGCTAGATCCATTATGACGTCATAATCATTTTCAACTTTCTTTTTCCCGTACTTTAGGGCTCTAATAAAATTATGTAGAAAATAAAGGATTTTCATGGAATACAATTTGAAATCATATGAAAAGTAATCCCGATACCTATATTCAATTTAATATTATTTTAAAGAAGAGGCCAAGAACATACAAATTACAGTTTTCCGAGAGACTGTAGGCAATCTGGATACATTTCATTTGTCTGATTTGGAAAAAACTCCCGTATTCACGATAGGTTTTCTTAATTTTTTCATTGAAAATGACAGTTTAAAATATGATTTTTCGTCTTATTTGCCTACAAATTATGCCCCGAAACAACTTCTTTGACCAAGCTAAAATTATAAAGCATCATTAAAGGAATTTATTTCTCAAATTTGAGAAATCTATAGGCACCTTTCATTTACTAGATCTTGACCTTAATAATCCGTCGATGAAACTCGTCAAAGCTCAAAGCTTTAGCGATCAGTGTACGGAGTGCGTATCAACAGCACTATCTCTACAAGCAACAGTCAACTAACAGGCTTTCCCGCTTGAGTAACGAATGAGTATCGGTTAAAAAGAGTGTGCAACACGCATGAAAATCTTTTTTGAACGGTAAACTAACGGTCATCCGAAAGGGTGTGGCTGGCGTCCACAACACATCCGATTTATCTGTTTCACAGCCGATATCTCAGATCGAAGTGACATGAACGAAATCAGACTGATCAAATACAGTAAAAGAAGGCTATGAGTTCCATTGAGAACACATGCAAAGACACAGCTTCCTTTGTCTGGTAGTGACCCTTTCAAGCTACACAAACTTTCCACAAGATAGAACCAATATTACTGGATCCTCCGCTAATTAATATACAAGGGTTTCAAAGTCATATATTAGAAATGAGTGAACACACGAAATCACATCCAAATGAACCTGTAAAATTTAAGCAATCCACGAAAATTGACCCCACGAATTTTGATGATTCCACAGTAACATTAAAATAACATTGTGGTTCTGCTTAGGTTTAGAATATATATAAATAGACTGATACATGTCTGACATATAAAATCCTACATAATGATATAGAAAATTGGTGATTTAATTACAAAAAGAGCCAAAATGTCAGAATTACCAGGATTTGTTATAAAACTCGGCTATTGTCTTGGACACCTGTTTATAGCTGTAATTCCCTATATCCGTTTAACAAATTCGTAAAAGTATCTATAGCGAATTCGCAATATACATGATTTCCTTTTTATGAATATCGAATGTGCCCAATAGAAATATTAAATATCAAACCTACCTTGGAGAAGTAAAGTTTTCTGTTTAATAATATTTCAATAATAAGTACAACAAATAATATCAGTTTATACCTGTACACGCTACACAAATGCAAATTTTTATGTGGAAAAAATTAAGTGATTTGAGAAACATGTTGTGTAAGGAAAAAAAAAACTTTCGACAAAATTTTACAAAATGAATCGTTGTTATAACAAAGCAGTTAATCAAGATCTTCAATTCAAAATTGCTGCCTTTTCAATATTATTGATGAAGGAAGTGCGTTAGCATGTATGCGGGAAATCATAGAAGACGAGGTACGCTGTACTTTGTGTACGATTGTGAAAACAAGATTAAATACCTGTCATTACAAAATAGATAGTTAAAACCAGTTGCTTTGAAAGAAGTAATCTAAGAGTAAAATGCTTGCCATTCCTGAAAAAGTATATTGTATACCGAACAGTCTACTTCGTTTTCTCGACGCCATTTTTTGCTTATCAATCTGAACGTAGCGACGGTGTCACGTGATACATTAGGCATTCCTTTCCTGGTAGGAAAATATATAATTACTATTTGACATCTTTATAACGCGTTCGATTTCAACTGTGTTATTTACATTATTTGGTTTACAAAATAAACTGCGTGTAAATAAATTTCCTTTTTAAGTGATGCAGATTAAAGCGTGTATTTTTGAATTTTGAAATTTAAAAAAAATTGTTATAAAAAAATGTAAAATTCGTTATTTTTACTCTGTAAGGGACACAAAATCAACTCGCTTTAGGCAGAAATTCTTTATATCAGATTTAACCGTAACTGTAAAGAGTGTTGCCGGGAACCCAAAAGAGCCTCGCCATATCCGTAAATTTGCTATATCCACGTTCGTACTAAAAGTTTGTAGAGAAGCTTTTAAATTATTATACTTACTGTTGAGGTTGTCCAGCCTTCAATTCGTCATTGATAGCACGAAGGAGAGGGTACTTCCCATTTCCACAACTTCCGCTAAAATCATCGAGATCCAAAGCCCAAACCATGATACCACCGACACCTTTACTTTTGACAAAGTCAACCTACATAAAAAGTCGCAATGAGAACTTCAAATGTAAGTCATTTTTAACCTGTGCATCTGTAATATTCTAAAGTGTCATTTTTAAACAATATTGATTTTCTTACCTTATATTTCAAGCTTTGTGGGTCATCGTAGCCAATCCACTGATCACCTTTGACGACATAAGGTACCTCCATTTCAGGAATCCAATGACGTGTACCTCCACTTTTCAGCATCTCACAAATCTACAGAGAAGAAATAACAAGCAAAGTGATCATAAACTAAAAATTAGAAACGGGAATTATAATTCCTGATTCTAACCTCGTAGTAAGCCAGAAATCCCGCCTCCCTGGTGTATCTTCCAGCCTGTCCGCCATTGCCTCTGTCAGGAGCGAACAGTCCATTGTTGCTGGCACTGGCGAGTGTGAAGGAACGTCCATAGAGTGGCAATCCTACGTTCAACTTGTCAGCTGGGGCTCCCTTCTGCAGCCAGTAGTTTACTGCCCATTCCTAACAATGTATATACGTGTGTGTAAATATGTGGAGATAACGAACAGTATTCGAGCTCAAAAGTCCATTAAACATTACAAAATATGAGCAGAGCAAACACGGACCTCTAAGACATCAGAGGTGGGATCAGGTGCCATGGAGGAGTGAGCATCCCTTGCCGACCGGTCACACCCGCCGTGTGCTCCTTGTCATGATCGGGAAATAACGGAAAAATCCGTCGACAATTCAGTGTGTAAATAATGGCCTAACAATTAGTATGAAAAAGTCAGTCAGCATTTGACTAAATGCTAGATTGTATTTGCTGACTAGGTCATTATATCGACCATAGAACTTAGGAAATGATGACTTTAAACGAGACTGCTGATATTCTTGCTTCATCAACTTGTTTGTCAATAACTTGCCTTCTTTTAGAAATTGTTCATATGTAGAACATGCTCTGGCGTATCGAATCAACTGAGAGATATAAACGCCGTATGCAGGTGATAAGGGTATATTGCTGCATAAGTAAGGGAAGTTGACGATTGAAAAGTTAAAGTCATCACGTTTATCATAAAGCTTTGTTGTTAGATTACCATTAACGTCTTTTTCTGATAAAATATCCAAATATGAAACAGACTCTATGGTAACCTTTATCTCAAGCTCAGTGGGATATATCGTGTCGACATAAGAATGGAAATAACCATTGTTAATTGACAATACATCGTCGATATATCTAAATGTCGAGTTGAAGTATATATATAAGTATATAATTGAGATAGCAAAAATGGATTTATTTGCCTTCATCATGTTGGCGAGTTTAAAAAGAGAGCCCCATACTATATAATTTGCTCAGCTCTTTGATATTCCATTCAATTATTTACTAATTATGTGCTAAAAATGTTCGAGCTTTTCAAGTTTCTAAAGTGTTTTGTAGACTCACGACATTAAGATATGTTTCATTTCCGGTCTCCTGGGGATGAGCTTTCAGAGGAGCATTGTGATTGGTTTTATCCTCCCAGCCTCCTCCGTGTAAGTCGTATGTCATCAAGTTAATCTCATCCACATATCTTCAAATTCAGATTTATCACAGCATTATAAAAAGGTACTAAATATATACGAAGTAAACTGATTCTGAAAGTCAGTTTTACTGTTAAAAATTCTAAAGTTTTCCTAGAAAAAATACAATAAAATAAACCCACGGGAAAATGTTGATCAGTTCTTTCGTAGATTTGGGGGGGGGGGGTAACATGATTTGAATAGAATGTACTTAAATGAAAACACAAAATATGTGTTTGAATCATCTCATGCAACTTAATAGAGTGTTGCCAATTGAAGAAATACCATTTCTTAAATATCATTATCAGTTTAATTCAGATTGACCGAGTAACTTTGAATATATACTTGGAAACGGCAGGGACGTCATATCCGGTGTCGATATTACTCTTTCCTGCAGGCACAGCACATGTCAACATTAAACCCTGGGGTGAGAGTGTTTCGTGAAGGATCTGCGATAAAAAGAATTAATATTATGCACATGAGCACTTTCATTAAAAAAAAAAAAAACTATATCTCTATCTTATCCGTCATGTAAATGAGATATTTGCTCATTGACAAGCATAATTAATGCAAGATACATCAGTTCCTCTAATGAGTGAAAAAGTTTTCTTCAACTTTATCGTAATACATGCTTGGTAAAGGAAATGTATCTACAATTTACAAACTTCTGTTTTCCAGAACAATGCTTTGCATATTTTATAGATTTAATTATTGAACCTCTTATTTTACGTAAGATTTAACTAATTAAGAAAATAAATAGTAAATGAAAAGTTGTTTACCTTCATCAACTCTACATAGTTTTGTTTGTCTTGTGGGGGACTTCCTCTGTTTGCAGGGTATTCCCAATCTATATCCAGACCATCAAAGCCGTGCTTCTTAAGGAATTGTACAGAAGAGGTGGCGAAATCCCTTCTACCCGCAGCAGTAGCCACCATTCTTGTAAATGGAGCGGACCCCATGTTCCATCCACCCACAGCTAGCAGTGTCTTTAGAGAGGGGTTCTGTTGCTTGAGTTTGTTGAAGCGTTCATACCTATCATAAAAATAAAGTTTTTATATATGATTTGTTATTAAAGAGATAAAAAGTTGTCATAACAATAGATATCTTTTCTGGATAGAAAAATACATTATTTCGCTCGTAATTTAATAATATAGAAAAATACATTTTCATACATTCCCTTCATCCATGGAGTGCTCTCATCATTCCACTCAAATGGTGCCAGATGGTTTCCGTTCATTTTAGCAAACGCATAGATGACATGTGTACAGAGCGTAGGATCAACATTCTCTGGGTAGAATTTCGCGGGTCCATTCCTGTACTGTGCCCAGTTAGTATAGTAACACACCCGTCGATATCCCACGGCTGTAAACAAGAATAACAAAATATACTACTTTCAATGATATCTATCATATTAACATAACAAAAAAAATCATAAAAACAGAAATCGAATAAAATGAATTAAATGATTTTAGAATTACCAGAACTGAATGCCAGGGCAAGCAACGGAATAAGAGTTTTTAACATCTGAAAAATAGTAGCTGATATTAGTATTTTTAAATCCATTCTAAAGGCCTATTACCTTCATGAAAATAAAACTGATGCATATAAAAATGAGGAGCACATACAATATTGACAACGGGCAATAAACGGGGAAAATAAAAAAAAAAAAAAAATGAAAATAAAAAAAATGAAAAAAAAAAAAAACACAATCAAAATAAACAAATAAATAAATAAATAAATAAAATGGGTAAAAAATCAACACCAATAATGAATTTTAAAAAAAGCAAAACTAAAATGATAATTATTACAATAAATGTAAATAAATAAATAAATCATAGATGAATAAATAAATAAGAACGATATTTGTCAAAATCATTAACCTCGAAGATATTTTTTTACTGACAGAGAATAACTTCCAATACTTATTTTGAAAAAAAAGAGTGACTCAACTTAGATCATGTTACCTTTGGCCGCTAAAATATCAAATACGACTTTGGATGTGCCTCTGCACTAGTTATACGTCTTGTTATAATATAGAGTTAATCTATTAACTGTCGAACAACTCAAAAGTTTCCCGTCGCTCTGATAACGGAGCTTACTATCTGAGACAAATGTTAAGATGCCTTCTGTGCTATTTGTCTGCGAATTAGAGATGTGACCCTTCTATTTTTCATTATTTACATTACGATTACATATGGGAAATATTTCGATGTCCTTATTTGAAATCTTGTGTTTGTAAATTACATTTGAGATCTCAAGTCCACTTAGGATCCTTAAAATCTAGCCGAAGATTGAAATATTTTATACTGAGGAATAAACTTGTCAATCATCCCAGGCTATTCGTTTCTTTATTTAACTATTGAAGTTTTTTTTAAGTGACATTATCAAGGTTTCTGCTTTACTTTTGAAAAATAAAAATAAAAAGCAAGATTAATCAATTTCATAGGTATGACCTTCTGTATATGTATTGAAAATTGTACATAAAAACATCTGAAATGATTATTCTTTGCAGTGATACACAAAATTGCAAACATCAAATATTAAGGATAAATTTAAACTACATTATCAAGTACGAGTCATAAGATCTACATTAATGCCGTAAACTTTATCATTAAGTTGCGATTTGCCATTAGTAGTTGGAAAGTGAAGTGCCTAAACATTCTCTCACTTATCATTACTGAGTGGGATTCGATCCATTATTTCGTCACTGCTTTATCTAATTTTCTTTAAAATCCCAAAATGCTAGGAGCAATGATAGAATTAAAAGCGTTTGATGACCATCAACTGTCTTGGGAACTTTAATTTTATTGCCTTTTCTGATTCGTCGTATTATCGTTGTTAATGTTCTAAATAAAAAGTTCATGATCTCCAGTATGAGATAACATGTAAAGTTGTATGTGTTGTCGGATTGTCATAAAAGGGAAGTATCAATGTATCTTAAGACAAAATATATAAATTCATTGCTTTTTTATGGTGGAATACAATAATTTATATAGGGAATAAAATTGACATTTTTACAAATTGTTATTTACACTGTGAAAATAACAAAAGTGTTATTTTGACCGTGAAAATAAAAAAAAAATGCGGGGAATCTCTCCACCCTTTCATGAAGAGTGTAATAGAAAATTCTCCCTATAGATAGTGAATAGTTTAACATGACACAAGCTTAAACTGCCAACTGCAAAGGTTTCTCCACATTGCTCAAAGTCATATTTTACAATTTCAGTCTCGCAATAAATTGCTTGGGTATGCTCAGCTACGTCGTCACAGTTATAGGCGACTGGGGCAAAAGTAAAGACCAAAGAAAACGATTAAATTGAAATGTCAATGTTTTGTAGTTGGATATAGAATGTATTTGACGCGTAAGACAGGAAAAACAAACTTTGAATAGATCTTCTTGTCAATATTCACAGTAATAATTTCATGAAAGTCTATAAATCTCACACTTTATCTGCAATTTAGGTATGCACAGCAGTATCCCAAATCTCGATCTAATATCTCAAAGTTATCAAAATAAGATCATTTAAAGGTTATAAATCTTCCAAAAGTCGTCAAATGAACTAAATTTCAATCGATTTGCAATTTTTATAAGAGAATACTACAAATATATAATATATCAAATATCTTTTAATGTGTATTCCCCAAATACTTGGCCCCCAACGCCCACCCCCTCCCCAGGGAGTTGACGGATAGACGGAGATAAAACCTAGTGTCCACTACCCCCACTTTACTGGTAGAAGTATCTGTATAATGCTCATACTAATCCAGGTATTTTGACTCAGTGATATCGATATCATGTGCCCAATGCAGCCCACAATTCGAAACAAACTCATAATACTATTTTATATTACATCCTTAATCATTTTGTGTTTGTTACATTATTTCAGAGGCTGAATTATTGTAAAGTTAAATATTTAAGCTAAAATTTACTAAGTGTGTTTCCTATGTATTTATTTTCATTACTAAGCGTACTTGTATTAAGAAATCAAATATGGTGAATGCCCAAGGACATAATTATTTGTATCTGTTGATCAAGAATCTACATCGCTATGGGAGCCCCATGGAGATTGTTTCATGATGTCCACAATTTCAGCATGGGGAAACAACCTTGATTAAAGCTGACACCCCTTGACATTCATTAATCTTAAATATGACGACACCCTTTGGGATTTTACTGATAATAATCCAAAAATCAACTTACGATAACACTCCTCGACAATACCAATATTTGAATAGCTTTGGCTTATCTGTAAAATTGTTCAATGACTTTCTGTATTATCGCTTATCGTCAACAATAACAAGTGCCCCTTGAGAGATAAACAGGAACTTATTCTGACGAAGTTTTGACATATTAACTCATCTATTTCAAGCTTATTTGGTTAAATTTTTAAGTGGATGCTATATCATGCTTGTTTGCAAAAGGCATATTGCGAAACAACAAGTAATATACGTGTAGGCATATTCCCTTTCTTGTACTATAAAATGAAGAACAGGCTTTTTAATTTGACATAGACAAGAGCGTCATTAATAAACTTCCATATCTTTGGATTTCCTCATTGACAATATCTGCATAGTCTTTTGAGACCAGGTCTTCAATTATTCTGTTGGAATTAGGATGGGGACTAATTGTGCTCCCTTATTAGCCTACCTGTTTTTATATTCTTATGAAAAGGATTTCATTCGTAAACTTCCACTTCAGAAGAAACTGGTCACAGTAGCCTAGTGGTAGTGGGGGAGCTGGATTCGATTTTCGTTCGCCGCGCCGCGTCAAACCTAAGACGTAAACATAGGTAGTGACTGTTTCTTCGCCAAGCTCCCGGCACTAGAAGTGAAAGTCATGGGTCTTTCGGATGAGACCATTAAACGAGGTCTCGTGTCATGGTAGGCGTTGGCACAATAAAGAACCCTCACAGCTCAATGGTCCTGAGTGCCAAATAGGTCTAAATTTGAAGCCCTTCACCGGCATACGGTAACTTCTCTATATAAGTGAAAAATTGGGACGTTAAATAACATACAATCAATCAATCAATCAATAAATCCACTTCAGATGAAAAATAATGCTTTGACATTCCTTACGACATTTAGTTATATTGACGACGTTTTACCAGTTAACAATAGTTATTTTCATTCTTATGGCCACTCGAAATATCCTAGTGAAATGATATAAGGAGATAACTAACAGTAATCAAGGTCAAAAGTCAAAATTCCATTGAAACAAAACAAATCTGGAGCAAAGCAAACGCGGACCTCTCCATTGAAACAAAACAAATCTGGAGCAAAGCAAACACGGACCTCTAAAAATAACAGAGATGGTGTCAAGTGCCATGGAGGAGTAAGCATCCCCTGTCGACCGGTCACACCCACCTTGTGCTCCTTGTCATGATTGGGAAAAATTTGTAGACAACTCAATGTATAAATAATGGCCTAACAATTAGTATGAAAAATGTCAGTCAGCATTCGACTTAATGATAGTTTGTATTTGCTGACAAGGTACATGTATTGATTATAGAACTTGCAAAATTATGACTTTAAAAGAGACTGTTGATATTCTTGTTTCATCAACTTGTTTGTCAATAGCTTGTCTCGTTTTAGAAATTCTTAGTACGTATAGAGCATGCTCCATCGTATCGAATCAACATGAAGACATAAACCCTATATGCAGGTGATAAGGGTATATTGTTACGCAAAATGGGGAAGTTGACGATAGAAAAGTTAAAGTCATCACGTTTATCATTCCATTCAATTCTGTTGTTAGGTAACCGTTAACGTCTTTTTCAAGTAAAATGTTCAAATATAAAACAGTGTTAGAATCTTTGATATCTTTTATTTCAAGTTCACAGGGATATATTGAGTCGACATTTGAATGGAAGTAACTATTGGTAATTGACAATACGTCGTCGATATATCTAAGTGTCGATTTGAAGGCCACAGCAAGTGTTTTCTTTTAATGTTTAAGTTATTTGATAAATTCTACTTCATATGAATACAAAAATAGGTCTTCTAATAACGGGGTGCAATTGATACCCAAGGAAATTCCGACAGATTTGGTAGACCTGATCTCCAAAAACTACATAGATATTGTCAGAAACTCAAGCATCTTTTTTATATCAACATTGGAGTACTTGTGTGTACAATCAGAATTTTTTTTAAACCAAATAAATTTGCAAATGAACAATGCCAAGTTAAATGAAATTACGAGTACTATTTTTATTGAAAAAGCAGCTGACATTTATCGTGAGGAATGATTGTATAAAGTGTTGAAAAGCCGTAAGTTTTAATGTTATTGATTTTGGTAAAATTTTGTGATTTCGAATTTTCTCAACGTTCCTTGGAGTTTTTAAGTATCCACATCTGATTTACAC